TTCATTTCACACCGTGTCTCTGTCATGTTTTCGCTCGTAAAACGCGTGTGAGTGTGTGAGATCTCCCAGTGCGGCTGCACGGATGCTGCGCTGCACCAGCCAGTCATTGTTGTTGTCTCTGGATTTAATTTTCTGATTTCTCCTTGGAGAGATGCAGTCCGTCATTAACTGAGGATGCGATATATGGGGTCTGTATACATGTGCATTGAGTGGGGATGAGGGCAACCGACGACCAGAGACGCTGCAGGGTGAAGTGATTTGAGGTCAGAGCTTGTTTAGGGGGGAGTTGTGTCTGTCACACCTCGTCTGTTGTCGCTGCAGCAGGTGAAGTCCTGTCGGTGCCTCCTGACAACACTGATTATACATGTACCACTGAGGCAGAGGGAGCTCAGCAGCATGTTTTACATTGACTTACACTTGTTGGATATCCGATATATCTGCTTCGTCATTGGCTTTTAGAGAGATCTGGATGCCCTTAGTTGTTTGATAAGGTCATCTGTTATACTGTGTGTTTGTTGAGTCTTGTTTAGCTCCATACCCGACTGACAGAAATAAAAAATCCAATTACCTGCTGCAGTCAGGATATGCAACAGAAGAGCCGTCACTATAGAGCTGGTTGATAAAACAATAATTTTCACATTATAGCAATATAAAGAAGTTGAATATATGTTTATTTTGATGCATTGTGCACGGTGAGGAGGTATAACACATCATTGATCGACCTCAGATTTGTAAAATGTTTTGCTGTTTGTCAAGCGTTTATCTTTCTCTGCTCATAAAGACGATTTTAAAACCACAACATTCACTCAGGAGCAGAAATAAGAAATAGTAATATGACATTTATTGTAATGGTTATATATATATATCTTTATTTTGAGAGGATTTTTGTCTATATCTCCCAACTCTGTCACTATGAGCAAGAGTATAGAATACAGTAGAGATCTGAATGTGAATGTCTCCTTTAGTTTTCATGATGTTCTTTCCTCTGAGGAACTGAGATAATAAATATAAAAAGTCAATAATTAGGGATTTTGAAAATAAACATACTGAAACTTGTTGTTTTCTGGGGCTCAAGTGCAAAAAATAGTCCCTCTGTCACACGTGGGAACACGAGGCACATGGAGAAACACTGTCACATGCCCACTCAGCAAAAACCTTCCCAAAATATGGCTGCTTCCTTAAATTGTGTTCAGAAAAAACAGGATGACCTATTTTAGTTGCCAGCAAGTAATGATATGGTGTTGCTAACTATTTGCATATGTTTCTCTTAAGAATTCAATTCCACAAACTTTGTGCTATAACATAGATGTGTAGTCATTATTTATCCTAACACTGCCTGTAGAGAATTTAACAGAACAAAGACCCTTCCCCTATAATGTGGGTTAATGCGCATCTATTAGCTTCTGGGAACACGTCTGCATTGTCCTGCATGTACGGTGAATAAATGTGGTCAGTATGTGTAGCACATTTTCTTTTCCCCTTGTGTAACCAGTCAAAATATTCAGTCGGTAAAGTTTTATAGTCTAAATCATTCTACATAGATGAATAAAAGCTCCCCCCTACCCCATCATTAATTGTATATAAAGAAGGACGACGCATCTCCACTCTAAATGGATACGAACAGTGCCATCATTTGTATAGCAAGAATTTGTGTCGTACCGATCAGGGTCACAGAGCCACGATATCGAGGTTCCACAGATAAACGTGCTAGACCAATTGCAAGTCAGTTTTAGCAGTTTTAGTCAGTGATTATGTTTCACCTCATTTTTTGTAGCATCAATTAACCAATTAAAACCAAACTTACCGGAAAATATTCTTAAACAAACATTGTGTGATAAGAACTACCTAAAATGACAGAAACCAATTTTGAGATAAATGTATCTGACGTGTTGTTTTTAGTTTGGGCTGTGCCCCGTCCACTAACATAGAGGAGGCTGGATTCATGACCTGTACTGCAGCCAACCACCAGGGGGAAATCAAGCCACTTTGGCTTTACTGTTAGGGCCATCTTCATACTGTTTGTGTCACTAACACAAATATCTCTCATGCAGAACATGACTGTTTTTACGTGTGGATTTTTTTTCTTTTATTAATAAGTTATAATAGTTTAACGTGTTTAACGAGCAGTAAATTAAATGCTTTCCCAACCAATAAAACAGTGTATCAGCACTAATGAAACTCATTGAATAAAGCAGACAGGAGGGTAGAGTGTTTGTCTCTGCCTGTGTTGTGTGCTTTACGTCTGTGCACAAGTTGATTTGGAAGGTTTTAAAATGCCCCTGTGCGTAGTTTGGGTAGAACTAGAGATATAACTGTCTAATGGTGTGTGTGATGATGTTTGTTTAGGGAATGAGGATTTGATTTTCTGTTTCTTTTCCATCTACAGTTAAGCCCACGCAACGCGATAGAGACACAGAGGGGGGAGTGTGACAGAGACACACTGTGTATGTGACTGAAGCTGATTTCAGACATGGACTGAAATCTATACTATTTCCTGTATTACGTGTATTTTTTCGGTTGCTTGAAAGTTCTGGACATTTTCCCGAACACGTTAGACTGTTCTTCTTAGGCGAACTCCAGAAAGTGTATACTAAGATGTAAAGGTTCTAGAGATATGCTGGCCACATATAGACACAGATTTCTGGAATTATTAGATGGATGTATCTATGGACATTTGTCGGAGTGAGTGAGGAGAATTTGAATATTTACATTAGTGTGTCAACAGATACATAGAGAGGGAGAAAGCGACAGAATAGCATCAGTGAGTGTGAGCGAGAGCTGAGTTCAGTTTGATTTGTTCAGTCTTGCTGCAGCAGTCAGTCCTGTTACCATCCTGACACTGTCATGTTAATTACATTCAGTCAGACTCTCTGTCCCCTGATGCTTCTTTTTATCGCAATCTCCTGCTTTTTCTTTAATCTCCCTCTCTGTCTCTGTTTCTATTCCTCTACGCTCCCTCTATACACTCCCCCTTTCTTTCTATCCCCATCATGTCCTTTTTTCCCCACTTCCTCTCTCCATCCTCCCACCCTCTGTCCCTTCATCTAACGAGCACTATTTCATCCCCATCCTCCATTTCTAGATTTTCACCACACCCCACCTTCACCTTTTTCTCCTCCGTTTTCTCCGTCTTCCCCTTCCCCCCACACAACTAACTACCGACATCCCTGTCACGACCTTGATTCTGTTTTGCATAAGCAGTTGATGCCATCCTCTGCCTTCTAAACTGTCCCAGCTTCCCTGCTGTTTACAGTCAGCTACATTGCTCCATTGCCGTCAAGGAACAGTATTTGTGAAGCTGTGAGGTTAAGCAATTTATAAAGCTCGGCCATTAATGCAGAGGGATGGCTACTTGAAAGTTTACTCGAGGGAGTTTGGTTGAGTGTTAAACCCAGTATGTTTGTTGTGTATCTTGTTGCCTGTACATGTGTTTGAATCATCCACTTAGTGGTTGACTTCTCACATTTTGCAAAAGGTATATTTCACTGTTACTTCACTGTTTGCACTTTATTAAATACATGAATTATGTACTTTATAACAACAAGGCAAATGTAATTGTGGATGCAGGTGACGTTGTCTTAAGAGGCTCTCAGACGACCAGTGATGCCTTCACACATTTTCCGGAAATTTTCCTGTCAGCCCCCTCGTCTAATATCTGGAAAATTTACAGAGAGCGAGTGAGCGTGTTGATTACGTTTCTAACATGTGATGGACTCACAGCTGGAAGAACGTATATGTCAGGATGATAAAGAAGTACCATCCACATAGAAGACGAGATTTGTCAATTTGAACAAAAGCACAGCAGAATGTATGCGTTACGTCGTCCTGCCTGCATGAAGTTTTGGGACACTATCCTGTTGACTGAACCGGACAATGTCCCTGCCGTTTCAACGTGAAATACAAACTCCAAAACTTTGTGTTGTGATGAAATTGAATTGTGATGAAAGCAATGCAAGGAGCTCGATTTGGATAGAACACCCCAAATCCAGTATTAAAGTAATAACATTACTAGGGTACCCAGGTTGCAACTTAACCCAAGTTTTGTGGAAATCCATTCAGGAGTTTCGCTGTAATGCTGCTGACAAACAAACAAACCAACCAACCATCAAACAGAGAGACAGGGGTGAAAACATACCTTCATCACTTGGCTTTTCAACTGTAAAATGAATCATAAAGGACTTAAAAAAGAAATAAAAGAGAAAAATGGAGCAGCCTGAGGTTTTCTGTGACCTTGTTGGTGTCGTGGTTTCTAAGAGTAAGTGCTGTATAAAACCAAAGACTCCTCACTGCAGCTCTGAGGTGTGATTGTTGTGGGTATTAATATTGTTGTGACATAGTGGGGACTGTACTCGGTTACAGTGATATAGAGCCCCAGGAAGAAGAGGGCAAGGCCAGACGACTGGTGTAGTGTTTGTAATACCTCCATACGTAAATCAATTATACTGATCTAGAGCCAGAACTCCACTCATCTCATTAACCTTCATCTAGAACAAACAATCACTTCTCAATATGTTGGGAACTATAATGGCCTCTCCAATGGCCATTATACTGATTTCATATGCAGCAGTTTGTTCCCATATGTTAATTAACTGGCAAGTATGGTGAGATTGACATTTGCTTTGTGAGCATGTAAACATGGCGTCAAGTGACAGATATGAGCTCAGGCCTGTGAGGAGGGAAGACCTCAGATTTGTCAAATGTTTTGCTGTCTATTAAATGCTTGTCACTCTCTGCTCATAAAGCATTTCAAACCACAACCTTCCCTTAAGAGCAAAAAGTCTTTAAACTTAAAAGAAATAATATGAAAATCATTGAGTGATATTGCAATTTTTATTTCCCAGTTAGATGTATCTACAGACAGAGATTGTATAAAATAAACATAGGTCAAACTAATGAATTACTGTCTTAGTGTTTCGTGTCTTTGTAGAATCCACTAGCAGCAAAGATTTTCAAATTCTAACAGCGTCTTCTCTGCTCACAGGTTTATGCGATCATGTCTCTTTCACCTGTTTCACCTATGGAGACTGTCTTCTAATTGGGGGAGCCCGAAGTTATGTCAGCCAATGAGACTTAGCCCAGATTTTCTTTTGAATTCCCCAGGTTGCATTGCTGCACCTGTTTCAGCCGTTGCAGTGATGGTGCCATCTTGAAAGCCGAAGGAAAGAAAGACGAGTGAAGAGGAAGGAATATAACAATCAACCATTTTCAAAAACTTCCTCTGTGCCCCAAGCTCCTGCCATGGAGAGGAAAAGTGTTTGTCGGACAAGTAGTTCCCTGTGACGGCTCTGCACGATAAAACTGCTCTGACATCTGCTGCTCCTTCTGTTACCTTACGGGACCAAGATGACCCTTTGGCTGCTGCTAGTTCTGTCCATTTGGGTGAGGCCTGATCAAGCCGGCTCCGCCCATTCCAACGAACGGCGGGTTGTAGCACACATACCTGGCGACATCATCATCGGAGCCTTGTTCTCCGTCCATCACCAGCCTCCTGCTGACAAGGTAATTTGTGTTTTTGTGCCCGGGTATATCTGCAGGATTGTTTTTGTGTGACATAATTACAGGAATTCAGTGTTTGTGACAGTACATTTTCAGATTCCACTTCCACTGACCTTCATGTGTCATTGTACCTAGGTTTGAAAAAAAGCTCTTTTAAAAGTTTTCTCAGAGTTGAGACATGATGGTCAGCATCACTGATGGTCAGCATCATTACAATTTCAATGTTTTGTGCAGAGTCATAATGTTGCTCTGCTTATTAGGACCCAATTTGTAGAATGGGATCCTCTGTGTAAGTCCATGAACATCCAGCCTCCATTAGCTGACCCCACTGGCTTTTAAGCTTTTTTCCATCTCATTATAGATAATTGCAAACTGGAAAAAAATCACTACTTGAACATGGAAGCCATGTGAACATAAAACCAGTTTTAGTCCACAGTGATTCAGCCATTTAAATCTTCATTTTCAAAATGTGTCTCAATGTTTGTGTCTGAGTAATAGATGCCATTAATAGTATGTCAGCATATTGACAACATTGTTACCTCAATGTTCTTGCAAATGTATTTTGATTGATTGTGTCTTGTCTGCGCAGGTACACGAGCGCAAGTGTGGTGCAGTGCGAGAGCAGTATGGGATCCAGAGGGTGGAAGCCATGATGCACACGCTGGATCGCATCAACAGTGACCCGCACATCCTTCCCAACATCAGCCTGGGCTGTGAGATCCGGGACTCGTGTTGGCACTCGGCCGTGGCTCTGGAGCAGAGCATCGAGTTCATACGGGATTCGCTTGTCTCCTCTGATGAGGCAGAGGAGTGGGGTGGAGGAGGCTCTTGGGGAGGAGGAGGAGGAGGTGGCGGAGGTGGCGGAGGACCGACAATGAAGTGCGCTGACCCCTCTGCCACTCCGATGCGGGGGAAGAAGCCTATAGTAGGGCTAATTGGACCGGGGTCGAGCTCAGTGGCCATCCAGGTTCAGAACCTTCTACAGCTGTTCAACATACCACAGATTGCCTACTCTGCCACCAGTATGGACCTCAGTGACAAGGTGAGACCATGCATTTCTAAACAAATTACTGCTAGTTACTGGCAGTGAAGATGTAGGCACATGCATATTAAGGCTCAGTTGTGCTGCCTTTAAGTATGAAAAGAGATGCGTCCGTTTCAAATGGTGTAACTGTGACTCCCCATGTACCTGTTCCTCCCTTTGTCCAGGCAAAGTATACCTGTAGACTCCCACTAACTCTTAAGTCCATTTCTCATTTGTCCAAAAAAACACTCACGGCCACAAACAATACCTACCTACATTGCCCCCCCATGATTTCCAGTGGTACTGCTTTGTTTTATCTGTCCGTATCCATAAGCTTTCAGAAGACCTGCACAAATAAGAAATTACCATATATATAATGTTGAGCATTAATGAGCCTTTAGGGTTCGTTGAAGAGATTACATTTTAATTTCAACTATATAACTAACTGATTTATACTGAATGATATTATAGAAGCTCCTGTATGACTCAACGTTTCATTGATTTTATTTCCACTGTCTCAGAGCCTTTATAAGTACTTTATGCGGGTGGTGCCTTCAGATGCCCAACAGGCAAGAGCCATGGTGGACATTGTCAAGAGATACAACTGGAGCTACGTGTCTGCTATACACACTGAAGGTACAACTACCCACACAGTCTGTCTCTGAGTTTTGAACTTCTCTTCTTAGCTCCGACCTGCCTGCACAAACTCTCCTCTTTTTGTTTTGTTCTCTCTTCCTCTCTCTGTCTCGGTGCTATGTGCTTGGCTCCTCATAGGCATTTACTTGAATATCTTGTCCGCTTATTTTATTTGCAGCAGCACTACATGTAGAAAGGACAAGAAGAAAGAGGGAGAGGGGTTTGTGCTGCACTGTGGCAGAGAGGGAGGTGCTTTTAAAAGACATTAGTTTTCAGCTCATGGATGGATATGAGATATAAAATAAATCACAGATAATTTGGGTTGAAACTAGCCGGATGCCAAGAAGTTGATGAGGTGGAAGTTTCATAAAACGGCAGAGAAGGTCAGCAGGTAACGGCTGGAGGACAGAGGATGAGGAGTGGGGAGAACAGGTGGTTGCCATGGGGCCAGAAATAAGTGTCTTGGGTAAAGCAGACATTGTGCAACAGAGCATGATCAAAGGAAGAAGAAGCGTTGTGTGTCATCATCCTCAAAGTATCTTATAACTCAACATAATATGAGCCAGTAGCTTCAGAATGATAGAGGAATGGAAAAGATGTATGAAGGTTTACTCTCTCACTCGTTCACAGGTTGAGTCACTTGGTTTACTGGTGCCTCCGCAGTAAACACTGTGACAGCTACAGGAAGTGGAGGACAATGCACTGACTGTGTGTTTGTCTTGTTGAACCTGGTGTGTGATAAAGGGCAATACACACACACACTCACTCACACACACACACACACACACACACACATCAACACACACACACACACACACACACACACACACACACACACACACGTACATGAACACCTCTAACAAACACATGCCTCTGGCATTGCCTGAGGACAGCATTTGAATTGATGAAGTGTGCGTGTGTGTGAGAGGTGCTAGAGGTGTTCATGTATGTGTGCACTAAATGTTTGCTAAAGTGTAGAGAATGAATTAGATGTGGGTGTATGGAATTTGTGATGAGGAAGAAATGAAATGTGATGCAGCTGTTGACTTCAAACTTATAAAATGTGCCAAAAATGCTATTATTTGATTTGATGTAATAAATAATGTAATAAATAAATATGTCTGACTAAGTCATGTAAATGCAGAATATTTGAAGCACTGGATTATAATTGATTCAATCCTGTAAACACACTGAACAAAACAGGTTCATGTTATAAATGATGTGTGTAATCATTAACATCATGAGAGATTTGAATACAACAAACTAAACTCTGCTAGCAACAGTTCTTCACATGTGTATTAAACTATATTTTCAAATCTGTCTACACTTGTTTAGATGTTGATTCACAGAAAAATCACCCTGCATATCTATAACATTATAGTGTCAGAAACAACATTTGTCTTCTGCATTCTCATGAGACTGACCTCCATATATCTAATGTATATGTGTGTGTGTGTGTGTATGTGGCCTTGCTGTTGTGCTGCTATTAATCTTAGCAGGAAGACATGGAGTGTGTGTGGGCATTAGTGTTTGCGACAGTACTCATCAGTGTGTGTACCGCTGTGTTTATCAGGAAAGCATTGGTCTTTTTATTTCCTCAGACAGGTGTGTTTGACCTTGGAACTGGTCCTCAAGGTCGGCTGCTGCCTCCTACAACATAATCGCTCTCAGACGCTGAGAGCCAGAGAGAGAGAGAGGGTGGGGGAGGAGGAAAGAGAGGAGACGCAAAGAATTAGGAAGGGATGGGAGGAAAGCGAGAGGAACAGAAAGAGAGAGGGAGTGATGACGAGCAGAGGCAAGGGATAGGAAAGACATCAGAGAGGCAGAGAGAGTGAGGGGAAGGTGGGGAGGACTATGAAACAGGAACTGTGGAAATAAAGGGTTTATTGAGGGGAAAAGGAGGAAGAAAAATGGGTATGAGGGACGTAGGAGAAAGAGAGCATAGGGTAGGCAATGATTACAGTGCCAGAAAACCACAGAAGACAGAGTACAAGTGTGTGTGTACGTGTGCAGTGCTAGCGATAGATAAGAGTGTACCGGAGCTGCAGATTCAGAGAAAGATGGTCGAGGGGGCTTAAGTTTACAGCGACTCATTAATTCTCTGCATTAACATTTTGCATCTCGAGGCAGGAGATTATGGAAACTGATATGCAAGAAGCTGAATAATACATGTAATATCACAGAGTAATTACAGCGAAATAATGAAATAATATTTGGGGGGAGTATACCGTGAGTATTACTCTCTCATCGGGAGATTACATGCTCTCTGGGTTTGACAGTATCTGGCTGCAGTGCTAAAAATCGATGCACAGCCCCTGTGCTCCTCCTGGGGGTGTAAGATGGACATGTATAAACTCTTGAGCTCAGTCATACAAAACAACAGGGTCATGCTGTTACACGTGTTTTAATGGGAGCAGCTTGCTGTGAGATTACATTAAAATCCCGTCCTCAAACATAATACCCATGTTTGCAAACCTGAGAGACACTGTCTAAGTCAGGCTTATTTTTATGTTTCCTACAAGCGATTCAGGTTGTCCATCTGTCCGTCACCTTCTTGTGAATGCGATATCTCAAGAATACATTGAGGACTTTCTTCAAATTTGGATGGAAGTGTTGGACAAAACTGAACTGATTAGAGTTTGGTGGTCAAAGGTCATCGTCATTGTAACCGGACAAAACACCTTTTTGCCGGTGAATGCAATATCCCAGAAAGACCTCCAGGGAATCATTTCAAATTTAGTGCAAACTTTCACTTGAACTCATGGATTGACATAATTCATTGTGGTGGTCCAAGGTCAATAGTCAAGGTCAAGTCGACCTCACAAACCACCTTTTTTGCAGTTTGAATGTAATATCTCAAGAACACTGTGAGAGATTTCCCCTAGATTTGATACAGATGTTCACTTGGACCCATTGATAAACTAGACACTTCACCACCAAATTAGATTTTAGTGATCAAGGGTCGAAGGTCAATATCACTGTGACCATACAAGACACGTTTTTTTGGTCTTGTGAACACAACCTCTCAGGAACACCTTAACGAATTCCTTCAAATTTGGTACAAACCTTCACTTGATTAGATATTGGTGGTCCGATATCAGTAATCAAGGTCATGGTGATCTCATGTTCTCATATATATTGGGAATGTTTTTCCTTTGTGTGTGTTTTGTTCATAACCTTTATGTTTCTTGAAATTTAAATACATCTGGCACAAACATTAGAGCCTACAAATTTTGACCAGTTGTCACTTGGACTCAAAGATTTACTGAGTCAAAAGTCGCAGTGACCTCAAATGCGTCCAGAAAAAAATCGAAGGGCCAACAAACTGCACTGGTTGATGGAGGCCTAGAACACCAGGGTGGTACATTTTCAATTCACCAACGCTAATTTAAATGTATAGAATGAGCCATTATAGATGTAAGATGAATCAACAGTGTATGCAAATGTGTGTAAATGCAAATGACAAATTACGACAGACTTCATAGTCATACTCATACAGCTGATATCTATGGGATTTATCGACCATAAGGGGAATAGTGTTATTCCAACACATTGATGTCTGTGCTTCAACAGGCAGTGGAGAAGCAGTCTTACAGATCATAGAATAAAGGCTTTGTAGAGCACCCCAGGGAGACCAGCCTGGGTTTACAGTGCTCCTCTGTTCCACCAGGCGCTGTTAAGGGAAAAGATGCAATAGTCCATCGCTCCATCAGCATTTTCCTCTAATCCACCATCATCAAATGTTGCGTGTGCATATTGTGCTGCGGTTGTTTTTTAAAATTTCACTCAAGAGAATCGTGATGATCATCCTCTATTTTGTGTCTCTTCTCTCTTTCTTAGCTTCCCTCTCTCATTTCTCTCTGTGTCACTCAGTTTAATTCACTTCAGCTCATTGGTTTTATTGACATGAAATGTGACAGGTGGCACCAACAGAAATGGATCAATCTGTCAATAAATCAAGATGTCAACCTTCTTTCTACTCTCACTCTCATTTCTCTCTTTTGTTTTCCTTGGCTGTTTTTATCCTGACACCACTGATTCTCTCCCTCTTCCGTCAGCTGTTTCATCCTTTTATTTTCCTATCATCCCTCTCTCTCTTTTTCTTTACCCTGACATGCTCTTTGATTTTTTAACTGTGATAATGAGATTGAGGAGGATGAAAGTGGGATGTGTTGGGAGAATCAGTGTAGAGAAAGGAATAATGAATGGGGGAGAGGAGGATGACTGAATTTGGCGTCATCTCTGGCAGTGTTGCATCAGGGTGAAGATTCATAAAGAGGGTTCATGGGCCAGGTGGTGGATCTCCATTAAACAAGAGCTCCTCTGTGGTTTAATGAGTCTGGGTCACATGACTTCATCGAATCAAACTGGCGCAGGCTCAGTTTTTAGAACTCATATTCAGGAACTCAGGAATCAGTTTATTGACTTTTAAGTTAAATAGATGGTTTAACCAGCCATCTTGCCTCCCAGGCTCCATCCATGATATCAACCAGGGAGTATTTAATAGAGATTTCCTGTCGGCACAGCTGTTGACAAAATTATTAAAGGTTGGGAGGGGGGGCACTCTGAGCTGTGCCATGGTGAAACAGGTTGGTACTGTTTGGCAGTATGTGCAGTGCCATTGATTGTTATATCATTTACTCTGCAAAGGATTTATATTTGTGAGTTTGGTTTTGTGGGTATGCATTTCAAAGTGTGGAATGTTTCCCTTAATCTTACAACTCAGCTGTGGACTGAATGGAATTTTAAATCATAAACATTTAAATGCTCACACACATTGGAAGTGAACAGGAAGTAAAGGTTAACCCGGATACTTTGTGTCTGTGTGACGGGGCCCTCTGACAGTTGCATGGTACCAAGTCGTCTATGGGGTAGAACCATAGACTGTATATAAAGATAGAACATAAAGCACTTCCACACACTGATGCATCTCAGATGCTTTGGTATTTTGATTGTTTGCTCAGGGTGGCTTTACTTACTAGTGTCCTGCATTTTTAGCAAAACAATGTGATATTACTTGCTTACTTTATTGATGGGTCAAGAGGGAATGCAATTGGTCAAACTGGTAGTGAATGCCTGGATCACGAGCCAGGTCATTCATTCAGATGCTATTCTGGAATGAATGTATTTTGATTTGAAACTGGTAATTTCAGTTTGAATATGAAATTTTCTTCCCAATTTTAAATAAAAGCCATACAGTGCAATATTACTAAACTGCTCTTTTTTTTCTTCTATCAACCATTGCACCTCTTTCCTTCTGGATTAATATAAACCGGTGTCTGGTGTGGGTCTTATGCTTATCTGCACTGAAAAATACTGGTTGCAGACATAGGTTGTTGAAAGTGACTGTGTAGAATTTCTATTTGACTGTTTAAAGTTCAGAAAGTAAGATTTCTGGGCACAAACTTAGTTTATTTTTAGATTCAGAGTTTCCCCAGTATAGAATAAAAGCACTGCACTAGTGGAGCTCGGGGGAAAGTACGCTTGCGGAGAGAACCATGGTTATGGCCATAAAACTGCAAATAAGTATCATGTCTGTAGCCTGGAGCTATTTTCACTGCAAAAAGCATGAGAAGATAGATACGAATATATAATAAGATAATATGAAAATGTATCCAAGTGCTGATTTTTAAAAAGACAGAGTCTAAAAGTC